AATAAATACTAACCAATAAAACTAACTAAATATTTGAAAATGGGAATTCTCCTTATCAGTACGAAATAATAATACCCATTTTTTCAATAAACAAAACATTGTAATTTACTTCTCTTCATCTTAAAACAAAAACACACACAACACATTTCTATAGCAATCAAAACAAAACAAACAATACTAACTCTTGAAAAGTTTTACACATTTAATATTCCCATTCACGCCATTATTTACATTACACATATACATACTTTCGTTAGCTCTCCTCGCGTTCAAGGCCATGTACCCCTATCGTATTATTGAAATTATTAATTTTTAACAAAACTTGATCTTCCCATATTCCGCATATTTTGCATGACCCTTTTTGTCACTTTGCTGGTTCGTTTCTCCTCTGCCTTCTTGACCGTCGAATATCACGTAAATTCCAAATTACGTTTCAACATAGTCCAATTACACCATTGCACCATATTTGTCATCTTCTCTTGCCCACACAGGTTTTTTACTCATCCGAATGAAAGCATTTTTTACCATTAACACGGCCAACTGACATCTATCATCCGATCATCAATGTGCCAGAATACCTTCTGCTCCATCCGATCGTCACAGTGTCGGAATACATTCTCCTTTCGTGTTCATAAAGCGCGCGGTTCATTTGTTTACCTATAAGATGCGCAGTACTGTCCACATTTCCGTTCCTCCTTCGTTCGCCTGCGCTTATTAACTACTCATGTCTAAGCATATGATACTGTTTACTTCTTAATTAAACGATTCTTTCAGACTTTTATATAATTAATTAACTTCCACGGAAATGCCTCACGTGTCCATTTCGAATTTATTATCACAAGTTCCACTATTTTCCTATTTTACTGATTACATTATACATCTCTTAAATTCCTATTTTTTACAAAATCGCAATATGATTACTTCGTATCCTCCATTGTTGATGTCATGCGTACTTTTTACTACACTTTATTTTGACAATGTTTACTTGTCCCAGTGATGACTCGTTTCATATGATTTTTCTTATAAGAAAATGGTGTTACGAAAAATGTTGAACAATATAGGTCAATAACGCAAATAACAGTGTCGTGACGTTAATACGAGAAACAATAACCAGAGGTCAGCACAGAGGAGAATATTAATGTTCGAAAAAATATCTAACAAAAATCTGGGTTGGTAGTACTTCACTGGAACGTTAGGTATATAGTATGCGATATTCAAGGAACATTTTTGTGACAGTGAAGTTTACAAAACAACAGAGATATAAGTCATCTAACTTCGAAGGATAACTTTAGAACAAAGTGATAAAATAAACTTCGTATATTGGTTACATATTGCATTGCTATTGAGAAGCTTAGGCGAATGATAGGGCTCAAGAACAAAAGGACGTAAAAGAATAGGAAGGGAATCTTTTGTTTCTGGAACATCCGTTAAAGGAATCTAGATACGTTCAACAGGAGTACCCTTTAGTCTGGATTGAGACTCTGTGGATCTTCTTTACGACTTTCAAGGTACGCAAAAATTATTAGTAAACACAAGCCACTTCTCTAGAGATCGAAAGTCACTAGGCCCCATTGAGATTAAGAACTTATTTGTGTGCTATCTCGTAAGTTGTTCTGTGTGTTGATATCAAGATTTTCTACAGGGGATCTATGAGTGTGAAAATTTGCCGAATGTGGTCAGTGTCCTGGAAGTGAGAACCCCATCATCAGCTACAACTTGTGTATAAACCGACGTGGCAAGGTTCTCTTCCGGAGTGGTGAATTAAATTTGTCTATTGACTGTGACGAAACAATAATTAAAATATTTTGAAACTAGAAAAATGGGGAGACTTTTTCTCAATTTTCTGGAAATGAGGAATTTGGCGTCCGGCAGGTTTCTGAAATAAACGATTCAATTCTGGTTACCAAAATTATTGATGGAGCATTCGGTTCTATCTTATCGTAATTAATTAAAACCCAACCAACCGTCTTCGTGCTCTCACACAACAATCCCATTAATTGTGTTTAGTGGTTAGCCATTATGAGAAAGTGGACGAACAACGGTTGGCAGTTCATGGCTAAGAGCAATTCATCCTACACCTGTCAGGCAATGAAATCATTGTTTCCAAAGATCTTCAAAGAATGGGCAGAAGGGCAAGGTACATCTGCCGAATGCCCTTGGCCAGCGGTGAGTAAAAGTGTACTTATTGCATCAACATCGCCAGATGATTAGGGTCCTCGGAAACGCAAAATACGTCTGAAATTACTGTACGAAAATAACTAAAATAAACTTTATACATTGTTGTTATTAATGCACTGATATTTTACTTTATCATACTTATATACGGAATAATATTCGTACTATAGAGATACGTAGATGATGTCAACGGTAATACCTGTTTTAGTGTCCCCTAATACCGAAAAAGTGGGTTTTTCGAAAACTTCCATCTATATGTCCATCTGTTCATCCATATGTGAACAACATTAGAACCTAAACTAAATGAAGGTTATTTTGTACATGTATGTTACAAATTTACGTTTTTTTGTGTTTACGCACAAGTGTTATCTCTTGAAAGGTAGGCAACCCATTATACTTTGACAAACAGATCACGTTCTGACGTTGTCAAAGAGATTTCGTATACCCGCCGAATCGATGTACAGGCATATGGTACATTCAAGATAGCATTAAATTACTTGCACTGATCAAGATAAAATGAATATTGTAAAACATCAATGGCACTGATCAATTTCTTTTTTTCTTTTCCACTCGGTTTTTACTTCAACCGTATATCAATAATTCGCTTATTCTGAATTGCAATACGAAATCGGTTTTGCTACATCAAATATCAATTTTTCACAAAATAAGATATAGTAAACAAGAGTGCTACAAAAGGACTCAGACTTTCTCATTTTAGTTATTTTTCTGATCTCTTTAATTTTTACATTATATGTATTTATAATATGGAACCGTGATACTGATAAAGTGAGTACAACTGTTCTTGAATGTACTAAATTATTTCACTTTATACGATTAATACCCAGAATTATAGTTTCATATGTTTTGATAACGAAATATTCGCTGACTTCAAAACACCCGTCTGTGTGTCCATCTTTAGAGCCTAAAGAGATCAGACGATTTTCTCCAAAATTGATATTCCTCGATCGATGAACCTCGTGACTCTGCGAATTTGAGACGAATACTTTTATTTTGAGAGGTACTTCACATGATATCTAATAACAATTTCAAACTTTTCTAAAAAATCGCTCCAATGTTTTTAATAAATGTTGTCCTCGGATAAATCAAAAGCTGCTTAAAAAGGGAGGCTTCTCGCTTTTTCTTTAAATTATATAAATTTTAGAAAATTACAAAATAAAAAACACGTAAATTTTTATCATCTTCCCACTACTATTCTCAACGAAACACCCTAAATAACTGTTACCATAATGTGTGACTAGGAGTAAAACCGTTCAACGTACGACTACAGTGCCAACTGCAATGAACTGTCAGACAAGGAGCAGTAACGAAATAATGCACCGGATGACTCTGTGAATAGCCGTGTCACATTTTCTTTACGACGAAATTTCTCGGAAAGAACGGAGGCATTTAAGTGGGTAGTTAAGTGCATAAAGCTTCTGGTAAATGAATTGAGGAGCTTGACAAACTAAATCCAAAAGTAGAGTGCACCCTCAAAGGTGCTCGGGCTGGATTAAATAATAATGGCTTACTTAAGTATATGTTGAGCCTCGGGGTCAGAGACCCATTCTTTCGCTTAACCATATACAAAATAGTGGAGGACTTTCTCCCATAATTTAACCTAGCCTTCCCTATAAAGATGTAATGAAATAATTAGAGCCTTTTTGAGAATTGTTTTGACGTCAAGAAAAAATTATGCAAAAAAGTATTAAGTATCAGATTTTTAGAACAAATTTTATTCAATACACATATCTCTATCTTGAACATTGTAACGAAAAGTGAACAAATCTTGTTTCTATATTCACTAAATTACTTTTTCTGGTATGTTATGAAGACAGAATAGACGGGACAGTTAATGTTCTGTCTGTTAATGAAGACAGAACAGACAGTTCTTGATAGAGAAAAATTGATTGACGGAAAAACCTCTGTGCGTCCATCCGTAGGTGGTCAACGCGAGCGCCTAAACCGTTCAGACGAGATTGTCCAAATAATGCGAGAAAGTCTGTGATGTTGAAGAACCATTGTTGCTTTCAATCGTTGTTTTGTGAAGAAAAAGAAAAAATAGTTATTGTAATCACGACTCTTGTGTCTATTAAATTCTGCTGTACAGATTTCACAGTTACGAAACGGAGAATTTTAAGTGTCCATTCACTTTTACACTGTCGGTAATTATTAATTCGCAAACTTTATCTTGCAGAAACGGTCAGAGTTTAGACTACAATGTTCGTGTTCTGGGAATCATATGGTAATTTGTTTCTAGGATGAGGTGTAAAGTGACCAGCAAGATTAATGCCGTACTTGTTTTTGCACAAGTTGCCATACGTCTTTGCACAAGCTCCCAAATTCCCTCGTGAACACTGTACGCAAACACGGACAAATCATCACAGGCGAAAGGAATTTTGTATTATTTATTTCATGTTATTAAAAACTGTTTTGTTTAAATTTTTCATTATTATTTTGCTCAAGTAAGTTCTGTAAATACATTGGTATTGTGGTGAGTTATCGTTGGTATTTACAATGAAATAATTGTGTCGTCATTGGCAACTATAGTATTTATTATAAGAGCAGCTTCCGATAGATTCGATATCATCATCAGTTTCCTGCTGTATGAAATCCACAAAACGATGAAGACTACGTCTTTTTGTGGCTTCCATACAGAAGAAAACTGATGATGATGTCTACGCGATCGAAAGCTGCTATTATAATAAACAATATTGTTGACAATGACGACACATATAGTTATTTTTATGTAAATGTTATTTAAACTGTACCCCCGATTCACAGGACACCTACCGTCTGAAATCCTTCCCGTCGTGTGTGAAGTCGACGCGTTTCCCCATGCTGCCGTACGGCCGCTTTCGCATCGATGTGAATCCCTATCAGCTGGAGGAGCACGCAGACTGTGTGTTCTTTGAAATGACCGTCGAAACCACGTTTATCGAAGGTCTACCTTTAGTGGGGAGAATGGGGAGAATCGATGGGTAACTCTAGAAAAGTCATTGGGACTAATGCTTCAATACAAACCAACATGTTTAGAAGCATTCTAAAGTACTTTTTGTGTTTTTTTGTTTTGAAAGGATAATGAAATGAAATGAATGATATCAACGCTTAATCGAGTAAAAAATAATAATGTTCTACAGGACGATACAGACTTCCTCGATTTTGCAACGGTTGCATAATTTCTTATAATTATACTGCAACTTACACCACAATTATTTCAGCCGTCCTTTGCTAAATTTTCACCACAATAGTGCGATCATAATATACATAGTTATATATTTTCTAATATATAAGACTACTCACTGAAACTAATCATAGTATAGTTAAATTGGGTAAAGTTGATTTTTTTCCTCCCTCAGCGAGAGAACTACTGAACCTGGTTCCAGAACCTGGTGTCATTTGAAAGCTCTTTTCGTGATAATCAAGCTTAGGAAAAACACGTTATTCTTTGCCTGCAGGCTACATCTTCGCAAGTTATAGAATTATTATTGAGGTTTGACATAAACTTTTTTCTTCCTACCATCGTACGCTTCTTATCAATTAACTCCACCAGGATGCGTTGCACTAACTGTCAGGCGAGCTTTTACTGTTTTTGAGGAAATAAATCAAGTAGAAGACATGGCCAGAAATGAAGATTTCATTCAATTATAGGAGAGAAATTACATTATTCACACATTATTCACGCAGGAACACGACGCTTGGCTGAGCTGCAGAGCGTTCACGGTCGTCCGCGGAATTGAAGCGTCAGTTTTTTGATGCGCGGGTCTCAGGACGTCATACGTCGCCTGGACCGCGTATTATCATTGGCAGCCGTATAATTGTGCTTTACACCCTCTCGTGAAATTTGTGGGTGTTACTCTTACTGTCCTAGCCCGGCATCGGAATAAATTCCGATGCTGGAATAATGGCTGGTAGGACCTGGAGACTAGCTATCGTTGTCTTGTGGCTGTAGTCGCCGTTGAGCACGAAGAACTCTCATTAATAGTCGAACGCTCGCTCCAACAGTCTTTCTCCAATTCTTAATTTTTCTAGCGCCCTTCGCTCACCCGATTCCCGTCCCCACCTCTCTCGCAAAAATGCCCGTCCTATCACGTGCTTAGCGCGGAGCTTTCTCATAGGCTAGTCTTCTACAGAGCTTCGTGATTTATTGTCACGTAGGAATTCTGGTGGGCTACTGTGCCTCTTAATGTGACTGCTCCGTTAGTCAGTCATCTACTGCTACACACAAAGATGGAAGGGTGCGTTTCGGGGTGGGACGCTCGCTGGGGAATACTGGGTTAGCGGCGCACACTCAGCTGCGCGTGTCGAATTGTGTCAACGGCGCTCTTCGCCTCGAAATACGTTGATAGAGCGTGACACAAGGGTCGCGCTTTGCGATGGTTCTTACGACTCATTGCAATATATAAATTTATATAAAACTATAACACAAAATTATTTTTTCCCCAGTCTGCTGGAGACAGCGTTTGAGGCAACACCTTCTGCTGCGCTCTACCAGCTTATCCGTGAACCCTATCCTTTAGTCAAATCACTTCAATGTAAATATTATTTACTGTGTTATTTATAGCGTTACCAGTTTATTATAGTACGTGGGGAACGTTATTCTCACCGACCTGTCGGCTGGATCGTCTTTTCTTTAAAGGCAAAGCTGTATCATCTAACTGCAAAATGAATTCAATGTTGCCTCACCTACAAGAGCCACTTACGAATTCGTATGCTAGAGCTGCAAACACAGTGAGTTTTCCATCGAAAGATCAAGTAATACTACTGGATACATGTGAACATTTAACTGTTAAAAACTACATTAGCAAATTATCTGTAATTGTTCACCCCAGTACTATTACGTTCACATCCAGAATTTCTAACAGAAGATGTGTGTTTTGAACTCAAAGAATAATGATGAGCTCATTACGAACAAACACCCTACTCTAAGCATCAAAACTATAACTGTGAATATTAGACTCATCGTTTATAAACGTGAGCGTAATATAATAGTAAATGTTTATCCATTTATTGCAATCAAGAAAATAATATTATTGAGATGCATAACATTAAAATTGCTACCAGTACATCTTTTATTAGAGCTGGTATTTCTGATCCTGGTTTCAGTCATTTTTTGAGTTTCAGAAGGCAAGTTTGTATTCAACCTGAGGAACTTCATAAACTTCCTCAATCGTCACTAGTTGTCTATAAAAAACACATCATATAGATTTTTTCTCTGCAGAAAACATTACCTGTTTTAATTGTAAAATGGAATTTCGTTCTGGCAGTAATTTCCCTCGAAAATTAAAATCAAAGAGAATTGCTTTCTATACTCTCCCAGTACAAATAAATCAATTATCCCTTCTAATAATATGGAGAACAATCATAACTGCAACACCCAGTGCTCCCTCCGCAACGAGTGACCCTATGAACTCCCCCCTTCTTAAAAAAAAACTCTCCAATGAATTCTCTCCCCCATCTGAAGCAATCAATAATGTTAATAATAATAATAATAATAATAATAATAATAATAATAATAATAATAATAATAATCAAAATCATAATAAAGGCATAATGTGAAAAGGATTAAAAATAGAAACTGAAGAAGAATTTTTCAAAACATGAAGATCTGGACCAAGATAGCTACCTTGGTAAAACACATACATGCTCAGTCCAAATAAAGCTCTGTTCCAAATGAACCAAAACTCTTTCCCTCTGATAGCTAATAAACTATATTTATTATTAAGATACGTATTAAGATCGATGTTTAAGGTACGAAGTTATCCATTCTAGGGCGACACCCCGAATTCAATAAGAAGGTAATTTTGATAGTAAGATGTTATGGTCAATAACGTCGAAAGCTTTCGAAAATCGATCTAAAAATATTCCAATAGGTGTTTCTTTTTCGTCCATTGATGAATAAACATCTTAAAGAAAAGAAAAAAATCGCAGTTTTAGTAGATTTGTATTTTCTATAACTGTATTGAGAGACTGAAAATGCTTAGTTTTTCCTGAGAAAAGTTTTCATTTGGGTTTTCATTTGGGTCCTGGGAAAAGTTTTTCATAGAAAGGCTTCTCTAAAATTTTTGAGAAAACTGACAAAAGAGATATTGGCCGGTAATTTTGAATTTAATTTTTGTTCCCTTTTTTAAAAAGTGGCTTAATTTTTGCTGTTTTACCAATATCTGGAAATATTCCTGCGCATAAAGAATCATTGAAAATGTGAGTTAACGGGTGTACGGATACACAAGTTTTCAAGAAATATTCCGGAACGTCACCTAAACCAGATGAATATTTATATTTTAGTTTACTGACTATTCTCTGTATTTCGTTAGAAGTTTCGGAAATAAACATCGCGTCGAAAATTTTGAGGGACGGGAATGATGTTGCATTTTGTGGTTTTAGTCCCTTCGTGAATTCAACCGCAATTCTAGAAAAGTGTTGGTTGAAGAGATTTGCCACTTTAACTGGATTACTTTCTTCTCTTTCATTATCCTTTAAAACAACATTCTTTTCTGAGTACCGAGATGATGTGGGCGTATTTTTACGATATTCCACAGTCCTTTAGTTTTAAAACTTGCGTTCAAAATATCCTGATTCTTTTTCATTATTTTGGCCTGAACTATTAATTTTCTTAAAGTTCATTTGTATTCTTGGAAGTAGACACGGAAACCGGGTGATGTTATGATGTTTAGAAATAAAGTGAAGATAACGTTTGTTTCTACGCGTTAATGTTTACATAAGCGGCAATTTATTTACAATATTGTAATTATGAGTACATGCGCTTTAAATAATATCACAAAACTTTTCGAAAAGTGAACAGTTTTCTGTGAAAATGAGCCCAAAATTCCGTATTTTCAGAAACATCCTTCGCATGGATTAGGCGCTAGTGTTGTTCACTTACACCAGACGGATGGACGTACAGACAGACGGCCGGCCGGCAGGACAAAAACAAGGCGAAAACGCCAAGTTTGAAATATATAATCTATTCTTAAATATTTCCAATGTGTAGCCAAACTGAATGATCACCAAGTGTGGTGCCAAGTTTGAATTTGGCCACCAACAACTGAAGATGTTCAAAAATACCACACGTATTATGTACTGTCTCACAGACTTCAACAATGCGTGCATTTAGAGTACATTCAGTATACACGGTCGAATACATGACTTTTTTGGATCAGTAGATTAAAATTACTCATTAATTTCATGAAAAATAGTTGGCTATCACTATATTAACTGCATGCTTGCAATTGCACTATAAAATAGGTATGGCGAACGAGATATTTGTAGTGGCTAATGCAGAATATGGTTGTGAAGTTTTAATTGCAAGCGTGCTATTAATATAGAGATAATCAACAATTTTTCATGGAATTAATGAGCATATTTCGTTAACTACACCAAAAATATTTACAGTAAAATTAGTTAAATTAAGAAATGGTTCAAACACATTTTATGTACCAATACTCCTGACCCAGTAGACGCTTTATATTACATAGAAATGTTTACTTCACCAATTCAAACATAATTCTGGCCAGAAAGAGCGACTTTTTCGACATAACTCTTTTATTTAAAAAAATAATTAAATTGTTATAATTTTAAATATCAAAATTCTCCTTCACATGCAACATCTCGAATATTGACAAGTATGGCCATAAGTATGTTGATTCGTCACTGGCTGATTAGTGAAACAACATAAAATATTTAACACGAATAAATTAAATGTATTACATTTAAAAAAAAAATTCATAGCGAATTACAAATGTGAAAAATATGAAAGTCATTTGTATTTACCCGTTCTGAAAAGTACGCCAGCAAAACTTCAGAAGTGAATAGTTTTTCTACTTTCCGACCTTTATACATGTATCCCACTCATACATGGCTTTCT